CCCTTCTCAACTTTTTAACTTGGTAGCACTTCCTGACTTCAGATTTTGGTTCTTCATAATTTTGTTTCTTGACTTTGGTTAACCCCATTTTCAATTCTACTACTTCAGTTTCAACACAATACAGGCATGTGCATGATGCCTTTCTTTATAATTTCTAATTCCTCCTCCACTTTGATCAGACAGTATACTTTTTCATCTCTTTAAAACAGTTTCCTATTGGAACTATTTAATTCTATAGGTTGGAAATGATTTAATTTAGCTTACTTTGTCTTTGTTGAAGTGAAGTTCAATATCTGCTCTTCCTCCGTTTCTATTTATTGCTGGCCCCTTGTACACTGGGACACACTCTGTGTATAATTTGTTAGACACATTAAATAATAAAGTATTTGTAAAATCAGTACTCTATGCCTGTCTAAGGCTGGCGAGTTTCTGAATTTTGGAAGTTCAGTTCTTTTGTTGTGTAAGACCATTTGCAGTCTTCTTCCTGTAGCTTAACACCATGCTTATTTGACAGATTCCCTATAGTCCCTGAAATCAAAACTTTTGTTGAGGGGTCACCTATAGACATGCTTTCATCACTTACATACCAGGATGTGATCTCCTCCTGGTAAATGTTGAGGGTGCTTCAACTAGGTCCTGAGCAGGGTACCCATAGTCTGATTTCTAGAAAATGCCAGAAATTTCCAAAGTCCCAATGAGCAGACAGTAACTTCTTTGGCTTTCCCTTCAAGTTTTTAATTAATGTGCTGTTTACCTTAAAAGTGTTCTGCTGCGTATGGCAGTCTTAATGTCAAACTGCCAGAGTTTCTGAAAAGGCAGCTTAAGGGAAAATGCAATCACATTAATATCTATCTTTCTCCCTCTCCCTCTCCCTCTCTCTCTCCTTGGATTAACATGCAAGCTACACTTTCTTCTTTCAGTTTTGAGACTCCATGTCTGCAGGTTAAGGAAAAAGAACCAACCAAGCTCTAACTAGCTGACACACAGAGGCGTCAGCTAACATTCTGAGCACTCTTGGGCAGATAATACAGGTATTTAGTAGGTATGTCTTCCTACTAAAGTTTGAGGTAAAATAATGTCAACAGAACTTGTGATGTTAAATATCAAAGAAGGAGGATTTAGAAAGACTTGCAGAGCTCCCTCAAGGATCTGCTGCAAAGTCAATCTATGCAATGGACAGGAAGAAGAAAGTCAATCTATGCAATGGACAGGAAGAAGAAAGTCAATCTATGCAATGGATTGGAAGAATAATCAAGGCTGAGACAAAAATCACCAGAAAGCAGGTGGGACAGTGTAGGCTCTCACAGGCAAACAGTTTGTGATCCTATATAACAGGGAGACTTGCTAGGACAATATTATAGTAAGATAACCAAAAGCTAAAACCCAGGGCTTTTCAACCTTTGAATTGCATTTTAGTCTGAAAAAACAAAAAACAGAATTTTTATTGCTAGAGAGTTCAGCAGTATGTTTAAACTATATCTGATTGCTGTGGTACCTTTTCTGAAATAACCTGAACATCTACAGACATTAAGGGCAAAGTCACCAGAAACTGAGATTCCTTACCCTACACTAGCAGCTGTTCCATCTGGAGTCACGGCAGCAAAACAGGAACAAATTTGGTTCTAAGGTAAGTTTACTGCCATTGTAAATTCATTGTGTAATAAAATGTAGCAGTAAATGTAAAGTCTGCCTATAACTTTTAGGTGGATCTTCTCTGACTCCTGGCCCAAGGAACTTAAGGCAGACTTGCAAATCTGTAGAGAGCGCTCCAACTTGCTGAAGCACACACACACATTTTTATTACATTTTTTGGGGGCGAGGGAAGAGGGGGTTTCTTAGAATGAAGATTTAAGAAAACGCTGTATCTCCACCTTAAACTGAACCCACTGTTCTAATTACTGACATCCCTAAGCTCGTAAAACAGAACCTAGACTTGCTAACTAAGGGCTTGGAGGCTGAGTGGAAGGCTTTACCTTGTTCTAACAGAATTAATATGCAAGCCACATGGAATTCAGTTAACACTGTTTAATTAACTAATGATGTTTCTTGTCTTCCACAGGAGTACAAAAGCAAATAGTTGAAGATCTTTTAAAAACCTCTTTTCCTTTAGAGTAGTAACTTCTACTGTATGAAGTAGGTGGTTCTTTAGGAGTTAAAGAACCTCTACTTAGCCATTTCAATCCCTCCTCTTCTACATCTCAATACAAGAAAAAATACCTGCATCTCCAGTAGTGGGACAGTAAAAATCCAAGCCCGCTTGAGCCCCACAGCAAGATCCTCAGTACTACAGCACATACAAGACCTAGAATGCATGAGGCCCTAGATTCAATTACCAGTGCTGTACCCCAATATATGGCTAAGTGACTAGACACCATGCCTAACTTTTCCGTACCATGAACATTTGTATGCTGAACTTGGTCTATGGACAGAAAAACCTAGGGCTCTACCTACCCATTCTTCTTCAATGAATGAAAATACTGCAGAGGTACTTAGAATTTAATTTTTGGTTGTGTTGCTACACATAAGCAAATTGCTTAAACACTGCAAAGATAAGTCACAAGTAACTGCAACTATGACAAATTAATAATTTATTTATATATTATTTCTATATCCACAATAAAAATTGTCATTTGTTTTGCTTATAAAAATAACTTTAGTTCTAATTTATTTTCCCACTATTATTTTAAAGATGTCGTAACATTTTTTATATTAAGTTTATTGTGTGTGTGTGAGCATATGCACGTGCCACACTGCATGTGCAATCAGAGAACAACTTTTGTGAGCTAGTACTGCACTTACCAAGAGAAATCTCAGAGGTCAAACTCAGGTCATCAGGCCTCAGGAAGTGAGCTATCTCTTGAGCCCTTTTTGCCGTATTTTCAAGGCAAAAGGCAAAGCTTAACTAGCAAAATATATTTTGTAATCATGAATGAGAAAATCTAAAATTCCGTAATATTTAAATTACTTTATGTAAGAAATAATTTGGGGCAAGCACTCTTATGAAACAAATTTAGAGATCTGTAAAAAGATTATGTAAATATTCCCCGAATTCACATAAAAAAGAAAAACAAACAATGTATTTTATAACTCTTTCAAAGAGACTTTGAACTGAAGTTTAAATAACAGGCTAGTTAAAAACAAAACCAAAAATTTTGACAGAAAGCTTGGAAAGAGGCAGCAAGCAATCAATCATCAAATGTAATTTTCTTTCCCTGAAACACAGTGATTTTGGACTGCTGCTCCTTCCGCCTCCTGCTTGCTTCCCAGGAAGGATGCAGAGGTGCATGCAGCTGAGGCTTCACACTCTCAAATCCTCTGTGTGGACGCTTTGTAAACTGGTTCTTGATTGGAGGTTCATTTTCTGGAAAATCTGGGAAAAGAAAGCAAAAATGACAAATAACTATACCAGAAAAGGAAAGATTTCATTTCTACACACCAGTTACTAAAGAAATATCATTTTACTTAGGCATAGTAACTCACAAATTAAAGCTGAACCCCAACAGAAGACAGCTTCAAAATAACTTACACGAGGAGTTAATTTGCTAATTATTGTACACAAATTCTTACCAACACAGGGAGACAAAACAAGCCAAAGGAAACCAATAAAAACTGATACTGATAATGCTATGACACTCTGTTTCTATTTGTGTGGGTACACACATCAGGAATTCTATTAGGAAATGACAATTTTCATCCTCTCACTGTGACAAAGCAATGTTTGTCTGCTTGCAGGCTGAGCAGTCTGTACGCACCTGGGGCTTTATTCTTGGGGGCCTGTTCTCTGGGGTCCCTAAAAGAAAACAGAGCAACATTAGGACCTAGAAGACAAAACAAATCCTCTGATGATGGAATGGGTGATAAAACTCATCCACATGCTCACCCTACTATCCAATTAAAGAACCAAGAGTCGGCTTATCAGATATTCAATCCCACTGCCCCCCTCCCTGCCCCTTTCCTTCTACCTACAGAGACCTCTGGTCAATGAAAAGTAATCCATTTTGGCTATCTTGCCCTTGCTCTAGCAGACTGTCTATATAAAGAACTTCAAACATTTTCTCAAGGGGAGAATGATTTACATATAATGAAAATTAAAGCCCTTATTTCTGGTGCAGAATCAAGAAAAACCTAGAGACTTTTGGGCATGACTGGGTCAGATAGGTAAATATTAAGACTCCATGCTCCAGGTTTAGGAAAAAAATGGCTGTATTATTTTATTAAATACTATCTCTGACCAATAACTACACAGAAAAAAGGTCATTATCTTTCTAATGACCATTTTTAGATCATTTATTTACTGTTTAGATTGTCTTTCTAAACAAAGCTAATAATCCCAGCCTCTATGTTAAAATGCACTATCCTTCTCTAGCAGCTAAGAGTGAGGACTGAACTGACACTTTACAGCAGCAGACCAACTGTGAAAAGTGACCGTCCACAGGCATGGAGAGCAGTATCCCAACAGAGCGGTCTGGAAAAATGCAGCCCCATGCACCGAACCATAGGAGTGAGTGAAGCTTGGAGGAGGAGGAGTAGGCTATCCCACACTTGGAGGAGGAGTAGGCTATCCCACACTCATCAAGACAGATGTGAAAACTTTAAGTTTCTCACTAAAAGATAAAAACAATTCCAAATTTTGCAACCGTGATAATGGAAAGAACAAACAATAAGTCAGCCAGGCATGTCACTGGGCTGTAAAGTAGCCTTTCATGTGAAGGTGGCCAGTGTGCCGCTGCTGTTTGTGTTTCTACACACTATGCAATTTACAAAGGTGAAGAGAGCACCAGGCCAAAACCCCATATGGCCGAGACAAGGCAGGTCCATGAGGAGGTTCTCTCATACTGTGAGGCTGTGTAGCCACTCCATATGGCAAACAAATGAACTGAACCACTTCAGAATACAAATACGCCCTTACCTTCTGGAGCTTTTAGGTCCAGATAAAGAGTGGAAAAACACGGATTCTAACTTCCTGGCTTCCGGAATCAGTGTATGTTTATCGTTTCTTACATCCCAATGGGTTTCAAGTGTATTTGTATTGGAAGACACTTTTGGGAGGGGCTTTTGTTCCTTAGCTGAGGAATGGATACCACACTCCTTCTTTCGTGTCCGTCTGACTTTTCCAATGAAGAAGTCATCACCACTGTCGCTGTCCTCGGATGCAGAAGACTGTTTGTAGAACCGTTCTTCAGTGCTGTCATCAAAATATTCCTTCTCCTCTTCGCTCACCACCTCCTCACTGCCACTGTCGTCAGCCGGTTCAGGTACACTGTCCTCTGTGGTCCTGGCTGATGCTTTCCCCTGGTTGTTGTCCCCTGGGGCTGGGGCCCCCTGGTGTTCAGATTTAACCCCAGCACCATCTCCTGAAGGCTTCCCCAGAGAACAGGGAGTAGCCACTGCTTTGGGTCCCTGTTCCATCTTGGCCATTTTTTCTTTTGAACCACTTCCTGCCTTCTTTGCGGCTGCATTGGCACCCTTCCCCTTCTGCTCAGCGACAACAGTTCTCTCAGGATGCTGTGACTCACTTGCATCATCCTTTGACCTTGCAATGTCCTTACACCGGCTTTCCTCTGAAGAACTCTTAGACGACTCAGCCTCCGGAGCACTCTGCCTTGCATCTTTGAAGGCCTGGACAGCAGCTGCAAGCAAGATAGTGCAAGACTTGTTTCAGCACTGGCACATATAAAATGTCACTGTCCCCACACAGTACTGCTTCAGCTACGCTGACACATTTACGAGGACAACTGCAATCTACAGCATGTATGTAAGAAGTCACAAAGAAATCTTTTCAATACTTAAACACCATGTTTATAAGCACACTCAGTGACTGCTAAATGAAAAGAAAATTACTTTCTTCATGTCTCTTTAACCATGAAAAACAGTTGTTGCTGAAAGCAATAAAATGGCAGCGCTAATTTCTGTGTTAATACACTGAATAAGTTAACTAATCTTTGACAAAGTATTTAATCTCATAAATATATTTTATAAAGATACATACAAATTATGTGACGGTATGAACTGCATATCAGTATTTAAGACATCAATTGCTCAACATGATGATGTATATGTATTTTACGTAAATTTTATATATAATAAATACTGAAATTTTGAAAAAAATACAATTTAATATCTTTTTATGACATAAAACATCTTTCTAACTTACAGGCACATGTCCACAGTTCTATACATTAATGATGAATATTAATTGAAATCAAATGAATATTAAATGAAATCATCTATCCAGAATCATATAGCTAAATGCACTAAGCATACTGTCATTTGATTCATACCTTTTAGCACATCAATTTTTTTCTTCAGAAGAGGGTGAACTGCTAATCTGGCAATTGCTCTTTCAGTTGCAGTACAATCTGGCTGCAAATTGAAAGCAGTAAACATATGGCATCAAAATTAATCTTGCACTCCTGGAAATGATTACATTGCAATCTACTAATCTTTTGTACATATTAATAAGAGCACAGAATTTACAAATGTTCTCTCTAGATAAGGTACCTATGTAATCTACTCAAAAGGCAAAAATCACACTGATAAAAATATGATCAATGTTGAATAATTAAAATATTACCATTTAACAGTCTATAAAACTTAGAATTGTGCTACGTATCATTGGTTATAAATTTGAAAAAGAGTATCTTCCAATTTTCAAGAATTTAAAGGAAAGGAAGTAAGTCTAAGGAAAGGAAGTAAGAAAGACTCAACTTCAGTATTACTGCTAAGTTATGATGACAATAACATTTGAAGGCTCATTTAATGGAGACCTAGAATAATATAATGTTCTCTCCTTATACTTCGAATGCCTTTTATCCCTGAGATATGCTCAGAACCCAACACAGTACTCAGCTCATTACTAACACTTTACAAACACTTGATAATGGGATAGGAACATATAATTCTGCAGCATTTATTATATTTACAATTTAAGAAATTCATAGCCAATGCTATTTGCTCTACATACCCACTGGGACCAACCTATTCCAAATTTCTAGATTCTCGTTCTACCTAGGGCTTAGACAGATCTCCCTCGGCACATCTAAGGAGACAGCATTTCTCCTACAGCCATTTCCATGTGCCTGCACGGTTCCCCTTCTAGGTGCTCAGGTAAAGATTCTGTTTCCTTCACATAACACCATATGACTCTTTAAATAAAAACAATCCCATGACAGACTGTTCCCAGGAAGGTAAAATTTAACAATGTTATATATTGCTTTTATCTTATTCCTAAGAAAGCAAATTTAACTTCCCAAACTTCTAAAATATTAAAATGTATTTTCTTAGACAATCTTCATTTAAATTTTAAAATTCAAACACTAATAACAAATATAGGCCAATAACAAACCAACGATCTAGACTTGATTTCAAGATCATTTAATTTAGCTATTAAGGAACAAACTGGAACTCAAATTCAGATTTGTGAATTTAGTCTAATACTTCCCCACATGTTTTCCTCTAATTCACAAATCACTTGTGACTTAACTGAGAATTATTTCTGCACTAAATTGTTTAACGTCCACATTAAGTGTTTCTGTAAACAGATGAAAACATTGGTGAAAAAGGCAAACCCAAACCAAGGCTTGGCTTGCTGTGTCTTGGCTTCTCTGTCCTGTGCACATCATGTGTTTAGTGCAGGATCCCAAAGGATGAGGAACCCTGCATATCCACCTTCCTGTCTGCACTCCCTCTGCACATTCAAAGACTAACTGCTGTGGCTAAAATATATTCACAAAGGACTGTGCAAAGCAGACTGTGATAAACTTCAACGAGAGACAATGTCACAGAGACACATAGAAGGACAGACACTGATGCATCTCCATGCAGCTACTGCTTTGCAGTCTCAAGAGTGCTGACACCTGCATCAAAGCCTCTGCAGGGTTAGACTGGATGGCGAAAACCACAGCTTTCCTTATTTAAAACTCACACAACATTTGCCATGGAAAATTCTCAGGAAACTGTGGTTTTTTCACACACCTCCAGTTTCTTCCATTTCAAATAAATTAAACAAAAAAGTAGAAAACACCCTCATGTTTTAATGGAAAATTTTTACTTTGGTATTGGGTATTTATTGTCAACACAAAGATATTTGTTACTCAATTTTGAAAACAGTTCTTCAAATACACTCTGGATGAAATTAAGTGTCTAAAAAAGAAAGATTACTTATGTGCAGCACTAATTCTTTGAAATGTTACCTCAACAAACTGCAAATCCACTGTAGAGCAAGAATATGAGCATTAACACTTGTAATAACAAATTTGGCTTAAGTTCAACTCATTTTATTTAAAGAAACAAACCAGCAAATCACGATTGTTGATGTACATAGTTCTCATCTTAGAGAATAAGAGTGTGTACTCTAGAGCTGCTTTAACTGATCTCAAGAAAACAGATTTAGGTTACCCAAATTCCATATGCCAATATGGAAGCAGTCTGATAACGTTTTATAGAACAAAGAAGACCACAAATCAAGGCAAGTTTAGAACATATTGGTGGTATCAATACAACAGAGAGATGAGAGAGGGGAAGCTTTCCATAGTCCCCAGAAGCTCTCCCGTCCCTTTTCCCCAGCATTCTTTCCCTTCCAGGTACTTAAATGCTACTGAGGCAGTGTCTGAGTCCCTGGTTAACAGACTCCTATGTGACCGCATCTCTTTTCTGGGGAGATTATATCAATGGAGGCATCAGTAACCACCTCCAGCTCCCTATACCCACCCGACTCTGGTTTGGGAATCATGTGAGCAGAACAACTGGTTCTAGACTTGTGTTGTGAAACCAGCATCCTCAGAAAATGTAAGAGATTCCCCCATTTCTGTGTGGATTCTGATTTTTCTTAAGAGACCCTGCCACACTGTCTGCCTCTGATGCTAGGGTGCGCACTCTCCTCAGACTCCATTATAATGCTGTAGTCTGCTTAGCTGACTATTCACAGTATTACTAACTAACACTATTAGTTAACTCTATACCCCAATAATCCATCTCAGTGTTTGACTCCGAGTTTGAGTCAAAATAAATTCTCTTTCTGCTTCTATTAATTTTTTTTTTAAATGGAGATTAAAAAAAGAAATGGATACATTCTAAACACAGAACGTCTTTATGCCTCTGGTCAACATACAATATAGCATATGAAGAACAACCATTAAAAAAATAAAATCATTAAAAAAACGGAATAATAAAAAGTAGAAATTGATTCGTATATCACATACTTAAAATGAATTTGAATTTTAAGTAGATTGAGAGCAAAACAAATCTTTTCTTTAACAAGAAAACAATTTTAAAAAATACTGTTTTAATATAGCAAAAACACTGGGCAACAATAACAGCAGGAGGGAGAACATTCAACACCAAAATCTTCAAGACAAACAAGCAAACAAACAACAAATCCAAACGTTTAGTAGTGCTGTAAGTTAGTTCCTTCTAATACTTGACACTACTCTATGTACTTAGCACTAAAACTTGGTAATGGCGATAGGAGAGAGGGAGTGGAGATGCAGGAGATAGAGTCCAGAGAGGCTCAGGAAAGTGCTCTACACCCCATGCAACCTTCCTAGCTTGTCTCTATCACAGACAGACCTTTTTGCAAGTGTTTTCAAAGTTGATATCATCACCAAGAGCAGATTTAGTTATGACATCAGGTTTCAATTCCTGTGGGGAAAAAAACCAACAATTAACAAAGATTTGTTAATCTATGAGCATCGTGAGTTAAATTCTTTTTGTGTCTTGCTTTAGAGAACTTAATAAAAAGTTAAGTTCTAGAAAAGAAATAATACCTGCCATAGTTAAGATATTACCATGATACTAGAAAAACTAGCAACAAATGTCTTTAAATGTCGATTCCCCTTATAGTAGCTGACATCAGGTTCAGTACAATTTCAAGGACTCTAATCTGTAATCCAAAGATTCATATGCAACCAGAAAGCCTTCAAACATCAAGTCTTCAAAAATAAATACAATAAATAAATAAATAAATAAATAAATAAATAAGGAAGGAAGGAAGGAAGGAAAGACAGACAGAAAGAAAGAAAGAAAGAAAGAAAGAAAGAAAGAAAGAAAGAAAGA